AACGAAAAGACATTATTTCTATCTGTGGCTAAGAAGTCATTTTCTTGGTAGGACGCAGGCGATGTGGAATGATCATTCAATTGCATACAGAAATATCAGATAATGCCACAAAAAGATCGACTATCAATTTAGTATAGATTTAGCAAACATTCAATAATTTGTCTTGTAAACACTCCCATATGCTCAGCATGAAGCATGCTGATCCTATCATATTTCGATCTTCATTTGGATTGGACACTTTAATTAGCACTGTAATGAAGTCTGTGCTTAGGTTTAGTCAACTGCTGTCAATCACCTGAAAAAGAAAAGACAGAAATAAAACATCGCATTATATGACAAGTTAGCTGCAATTGCAAGGGTACCTGTGTTGAATCCTTCTGCAGGCAGAGAGACTTCCTCTACATTCTACGGCGTCCCTGTATAGATAAAGGGTACTATTATCACAATCGAAGATACCCCCACAAGAACCATTGTCTTCACTAATTCACCATTTGAAACATGACGAAATCACTTTGCCATGCTCTCTGTCCTCTGAGCAGAACCTTTTGCGTGACCTCAAGATTTGCAGTATTCAATAATTAATATTTAATGAAGAATGTGTAAAACTCGGTGATTTAAGAACAGAAGAAGAAAACAATCAATAAAACAAACTATTTATCAAAACTTTGCATGCCACCTGATGGCATGCTGCGTGTTCTGCACGCCTCTTTTCATTACGGAAAATAATTGCAGTGACTACGTCTAATGACCATTAGCTACAGTAGGATCTAGCTTGTACATAACATTTTTTGCCCTAACCGGATACTGCAGTAAAGAAATAAAACTCCGCTAGCCACCTCTTTCAAAACTTAGTCAATCCATAACATTTTAGATTTCAAAACCGGTCCATCGTATCTTGGCTTAATATGCGACTCCCTAATTAGTGATTCGCCACATGAAGTTCGGCTGGTGGAGAAAGCTGGAAGCTGGTGCTTTCATATAATATGTCTCAATATTGCTTTCGGTTTTGTGGCGCGGCAGCGTGGGAAAAAATTCAGCTACTAGTCAAGTTTTATGCTGTCGTTCTTTTTAAAGTTGCAAAGAATTAAGAATATGTTCTTGCCGATTTTAAGCTAGCTTTCTGTAAATGCAAAGTCATTCATTTTATTTAGGGACGCTGATTAGCATACCAATTTATAACGCTCTTGGAATAACCGTTACAAAATACATGAGTGCCACAACAAGGATGGTTTCGGATAATATCAGAACAGTTGTAGTGTGGGTGGTAACGTTGGCGATTGGCTGGCAAGGCTTCGAATATATACAGGTAATGTATTGTTTCGGTTGATATAAATGCACTGATAAAAAAAGTTACACGATATAGATACTCGATCAGAATAATTTAAATTCATTGTTAGTTATCATACGTAAACGTAGAATGATCGGATGTTTCTCGTTCACTGGTACTCCTTCTCATGTGTTGCCCATTTTCATACTTTTAAGCTTTCAATACTTTGCGCATGTGAACTAAAGTTATCCATACAGTGCGAAATGATGCTTTCTCTTGCAGCTAATCGGATTCATCGTCCTGGTTATTGGAATGTGTATTTACAATGACATTTTATTTCGACCCTTGTGGGGAAAATGGCAAAATTATCGAAAATCAAACGCGGCGCCGATTGCCCAGCTACAAATGGTATCAACTGTAGAAAATGCAAATACATGAATGCAAAAGTCATCGCTGATGGTTCTCAGATTAAAGCATTAACGCGTCGTGTTAGTATCAAATGTGTAATTTTATGTTTATATTACATTTATTAAATTAGCATTCTAAAATTTCATTCTGTAAGACACGGAATCAGAGAACTTTTAGGAATAAACTGTTTACCTTTGCTTCATCCAGGAAATACTTTCATTCTGCGGTTGCAGAAAATCCTATGTTGATGAAGTAATCAGTGCCATGAGACAGCGAACAAGCATCAGAAGTAAAATTCATCATTTATGAATTCGCTTGACATTCTGTAGAGAGGTCACCATTATCCAAAGGATTTATGTCTGAGTGTAGCCAGAACTTAGCACACGACCGAGAGTCACAATTTTCCGTGTGAACATATTTCATCTGCCTTCAAGTATAAACAGATTCTGCTTTCAAAAACATTTAGGTCTGAATATAATGTCATCAGTTTGGCAAGGCATGTAAGCAAAAATAACGGACTAGAAAACAAAAACATTTGGAAAGTCAATTATCAAGTGATGAGGAGAAGAGGCATGTTGTTTAGGTGTATGAAATTATGGCCATGACTCAACGCACCAGTAATAAAAACTAAATAGAGCGAAACGCATGCTTTCGCTGAATAGTCGCTTAATATACCTGTTTGAACGAAATGAACAAGTTCTCAACATTGCAGCAGAGAAAGAAGTTCACGTTAAAGGTAATTGAACAACGATTGCTGAGAAAAAGAGGACGAATTGTACATTATGCAAAACAATGGAAAACAATCAGTTAGGACTGAAAGCGGAGAGGAACAAATTCAAAAAATGATATAATAACTGAAATTAAACCGAAACTAGCACCGTCACACAATCGCAGGTAATCGGGATGAGTAGACACTGCATATGCATTGTTAGACACAGAGGATTTTGCAGACTCTACCAGGCATAATCACGATGAATATGACTGTCTCAACATAACATTATTGCTTTGATAGAACGAACAACAAACAATAATTTAGAGACCACTGAGCGCACAGAATATATGATGTTAACGTGGATGTTGACGCTTATGCCACGCCTGACTTGACACTGTACAATATACATTATCGATCTGCAACTGAGAAAAAAGTTTTTCTGTTCTAGTTGCGGGGGAAGGAGGTTCAGGAGGATTTTCCACTAATTATGATTATCGAGCAGGTTAGTCAGCTCCAGAGGCTCGATGCTCAGGCGTGTTTAATACTCTCGATACAGCCACTTCGTCGAATGTCACGTGACTTTGGGAGGAGTTCGATTTTAAAAATGCTGCTCAGGCATTCTCATCTTATATTCGAACCACTGAAGCTTAGACAGTGGTTAAATGTTTCTTGATTCAACGAGTCATACACAGCAGATGGTTAAAGCTTTATCGCCATCACGTTTCACCATATACACCGTAACATCATCAGGACTTGGTATAAATGGAAATGCTGCTTGAAGGCACTTAAATCCAACAAGCAAAAAATGCCATTGTTTCACGACTGGTAAGTACTTAACAAGCAAACTGTTATTAGCATTTTAAATACTGATGAGGAATTTACACGGCGAAAACATATTGAGTGAAAAATGAAAATTCTTCTGTTACCTGACACCGATACTGCAGTCACGTAATACTCATAGCAACCTCTATTCGTAACTTTGTTGCACAGCTTGAAGAGAATGCTAACCAAAAATCGCAATGTTAAGTGCAATCTTAGTTTTGTTATGTCAATTCAATCCGCTTTTGCATATAAAATTCGTGGTTGCACTTCAGCCTTCAAGAATAATCACGAAAGGTGTGCGTGGGCGAGCTGAGTTTCGGATAACGGCAAAAGAGGAAGGCGAACTGCAACACAATCGGCAAACAACAAATGATTCGGTCAGTTATCATCAATTATCGCGTTATCCGCGAATTCGAAGCTTCCACTCGCTATAGATGGTTTTGAAATGTCCCTTTGCGGCAAACTGCCCATCTTGCGCTGAATGGTCCTTGCCACTTAGGCTTGCAACCGACAGCTTCTAACTGAGACTTGGAATACCCATTCTTACGGTGACATCCACTCGCCACTTCACCTCACTTTCATTTGGCCTTGTGACTCGTTTAGAGCAAGCCTTAGGTTTTGTTCGATCATTTCGTGGCA